CGACCCCAGCTATGGATTCTGTAGCTTTAGGCCGACAACTGCTCTACGGCAGAAAGAAATGGCCACCTACTGTGGGGAAAAAAATCTGCCTCGTCAGTCATGTATCGAAAGATGCATGATCGCCTAAGCGTGTATCGCGCATGGCACCTGACTAACTGATTGATGTGACTTTATTTGCTGTACAAAAAGTTTACCCTGCCTCTCAAATGAAACTGTAACCCTGAAAATTAGTTTGCTTGAATTTCATAGTTATCTTGTCATATTCTGCTATGGCAATAGAAAACAAGTTTGAGTGAAATTAAAAATAACCTTGAAAGCGAATGGGAAGTTATATTAATAATGCAGAGTGTTATCGATGTTAATAATAAAAAATTAGCCCGGAAACTTTGGTTTATCATTCCCAAAGAAAATTTGCAATAACGTTTCATTCATTTAAATGGCTCTATGACGAATCTCCTTTTTCTATTAGTGTCAGGCCGATAATGACTTATTTTAATCTCTTGAAGGCAAAAAGGAAAGGATTATCCATTCCTTTTTAAAGATGAAAGAATTTAGCATTTGGTTTAAAATATCACATAACAAAGATCTGACTTCGATATGGAAGTCATGTGCTTGGTGTCTCTAGCTTTTTAAAAACTGTTGTAACCCAGGGAAGGTTACTGAATAGAATAATCAAATGAAGGTTTGTAATGAACGATAATACTTAGGACAAGAACAACACATATAAGATTCGCCAGCGGCGCGTAGAAGAAGACATACCCATTATCGTCCGTAGGTTTGTTACAACAAAAACAAAGGTATTTAAATATAAATATAATTCATAAATGACTCTCCTGTTAACCTGGGGCGCACCTGGCTACCTTTCAGGGCGTCATGTGCGCCGAGCACCGGTTGACAAACGCTGTTCTTAACTAATCATTTTTTTTTTACCTATTATCAACCTTTTGCAGATTAATTAAAGCAAGAAAATATTTTTCAACTGTAAGAATTTTGGAGGGATAATAGTTATTTACTGATACAAGTCCTACTAATTAGCCCATAGCTGGGGGGAGATGATGTGGATTCATATCTTTCCCAGGGGTATGTGCGCGTAAGTATATATAATGAGTCCAACTGCAATTAGAACTCTGTTTTCTGATTTCTAATTCCGAGCCGCTATCCATTACACCAACTGCACATCCAAGCTTACTGTATCTTGTATTACCAAAACGGTCACCCATCTAGTTACTAACCAGGATTGACATTGCTTAACTTCGATGAATATATAAGAACCGGTGTTTCAACGTGATCTGGTCGTAAGCCCATTTCAACCGGAAGACGCCAATCTAGCAAACGGTTTTAATATTTAAAACGCACACACACAGATTTGTCTTTCATTCTGAAGACGCCTACCTATCTAACGAAGTCGAAACGCGTTGTCAATAAAAAGCTTTTCCACTTTGTCTGATTTCACCACCTTTGTTCCGATTCTATATCCTATTCACACACACACACACACAAGCGAAGGTGACGATAGTCTATCACACTTAAACGAAATCGTCATGGCTTAAGGATTGTACCGAAGCATTAAACAGTCTGTCACCACTCAGTGTTGACCACGACGTCCATTTTTAAAGTTACACACGCTCTGATATTGAGCACTTTTACCCATAATTATAGCATACCTTAAAACTATAATTTTATCATATATATATATATATATATATATATATATATATATATAGGTAAATCCGTATGGATAATCCTAAGGAGGATGTAATCCAGAGAGCTCGATGTAAAAACAGAGCGAATATTAGTTAAATTAAATAACAGACAAGCCTAAGGGTCCATAGATTATATTTTATTTCCCCAAGAATTTTTCCCTGGTTCCTCAGATCACATTTCCGAGCATAAAAGAAAAATAGACAGAATAATAGATAGAATAGATTTTCTTTTATGCTTGGAAATGTGATTTGAGGAACCAGGAAGAAAATCCCATTCCTGGGGAAATAAAATATAATCTATGGATCCTTAAGGTTGTCTGTTTTTTTTTTGTTTTTTTTTATTTAACTTATATAATGTTTCATTAACTAATATAGACGTAGTATGTCTTTATTTTTACAATAATCCTTTCTAATTCTCTAATTAGCTTCTTGATGTTAAGTTGAAATTCATCAAAGAAGGCGCCGTATTTTTTGCTAATCCAGGTAATTTCGGTCTCTACTGAGATCATCCTCAGGGACGAATTGCGAAGACAAACTTAATGTAACTGTATGTTGTGATGGTGATGCCACCAGAGATGGTAAATTACAACATGGTGTTAAATGTTAGTCAACTCAAATGCATTTTAAAAGATTGCTACTACATTAATACTAAATTTTGTTCAGTGTTGGTTGGTTGCTTTTGATAGAGACGGCCTCGAGAATTTGAAGTTTTTGTTTATTATTTTCAGGGTGTAGTATATTGGTGTTATCAACAAGTATTTTCCTGGATTGTGAATACGAATATATCATTAAATTTTGTGCAATAGAACTTTTATCCGATAACTGGCGAGTGAGACGTCTTGATAATGTTGTGATCGTCAAGCCAACTTTTGTACTTACTTTTTTTGTCAGAGATACAATCTCCCAAAGGACATTTAAGCTGTTATACAATGTTGGTCTTTTTCCAAAGCACTAGTTGACTGACAAGAGTTGTTGCGTATGATGTAAGTTGGTTGTGTTCAATTTAGTATAGTATATAATTAATTTTATTTTTTTTTACTGAGATCAAGCGTGTTTTCAAAAATAACCATCGCAACGACCACATTTACATTAAGTTTATCTTCGCAATTCAGCCTTGATGATGATTTCAGAATGGAAAGGACTTGGGTTAATAAAAACTACGGCGCTTTTCTTGATGAATTTCAACTTAACAACAATTATTATAAAAATTTAATGAGACATGCTTGAATAAAGATATGCTGCCTAAATAATTAAATATACATACATTTCCCTCCCTATATATATATATATATATATATAATATGAACATATATATATATATATATAAGATCACCATTTTGTTTCATGCCAGACGCAATTGTCAGGCCACGATTGCGTCTGGCATGAAACAGACTGTCGCCTCTATGTGTTGACTTCTATGTTCACTTTTATATTTACACACGCTCTGTCTCTGATATTGAGCAATTTATCCCATAAATATAACACATCTTAAGACTATATTTCTTCATATATATATACATACACAGCGTATCTCAAAATAATGTATACATTCTTAGAATCGTTATAACTTATTCAATTTATGTATTTTGACAAGATTAATACAAGAGAAAGAATACACATTTAAAGAATTTGAGAAAAAAAGAAAACACAGAAAATTAACTTTAATAAGATAAAATCTACTTGGGGCAATGGCAGAATGTTCATATAATGATGAGTTCATATCAAGTGCTCAAAATGGTTGCCGTTCTGTTCAATACACTTTTCATATCTTGAAGAAATAAACCTAGAAACGTCCAGTATCATTTCCTCTGGTATTTGGACACATTCTTCTTGAATTGCTACTCTCATTTCAGCAATTGTTTCAGGTTTCCTGCTGTAAACATTGTCTTTTAGAAACCCCCACAAAAAGAAATCGAAGGGTGTCAAATCTGGTGATCTAGGTGGGTATTCAATTGCCCCACTTCTTCCAATCCATCTGTTTTGCAGATTTTCATCCATATAAGTTCTCACATCACGGGAATGTATTAGTAACTATTAATATTTATAAAGTGTATACATTATTTTGAGACACCCTATATATATATATATATATATATATATATATATATATATATATATATCGCACTATTTATTTTATCTAAAAACAGGCAATATGCTGTTGGACGACTTCAGTAAAAGTTTTGAAAACGTTGACCCTTGTTAGGATTTACGATTACGTAATTCAGAAAACAGAAAATACTATAACAAAGAGAGAGAAGGTGACTACATATCTCTCTTTCTCTCTCTCTCTTACTCTCTTTTTTCTCTTTCTCTCCCTGTTTAATAACTATTTTTTCACCTTCTATCCTTCCCCCTATATCCTCTTTATTTTGTCTTTCAATCCTCTTCCTTCTCCTCCTTACGCTCTCATATCTCTTTCTTTGTTTCTCTTTTCTTCTTCGCTGCTCCTCTTTGCTTCCTTCTAGCTTTCTCGTTCTTTTCTTCTCTTTTTCCTTCACGCTCTTCACCTCCCCGCTTATTTCTCTGTCTCTATCCACCTTTATCTTTCATGAAAATATAATGTATGCTGAATCGTTACCGATGCATATGTGTATGTTTCGCTCTCACACGTTCTGTGTGTGTGTGTGTGTGTGTGTGTGTGCACGCGCGTGTTTCGCTCTGTCACTTTCTGTGTGTGTGCGTGTTTCTTTCTGTCACTTTCTGTGTGTGTGTGTTTCTTTCTGTCACTTTCTGTGTGTGTGTGTTTCTTTCTGTCACTTTCTGTGTGTGTGTGTGTGTTTCTTTCTGTCACTTTCTGTGTGTGTGTGTGTGTGTTTCTTTCTGTCACTTTCTGTGCGTGTGTGTTTCTTTCTGTCACTTTCTGTGTGTGTGTGTTTCTTTCTGTCACTTTCTGTGTGTGTGTGTTTCTTTCTGTCACTTTCTGTGTGTGTGTTTCTTTCTGTCACTTTCTGTGTGTGTGTTTCTTTCTGTCACTTTCTGTGTGTGTGTTTTCTTTCTGTCACTTTCTCTGTGTGTGTGTTTCTTTCTGTCACTTTCTGTGTGTGTGTGTTTCTTTCTGTCACTTTCTCTGTGTGTGTGTGTGTTTCTTTCTGTCACTTTCTCTGTGTGTGTGTTTCTCTCTGTCACTTTCTCTGTGTGTGTGTTTCTCTCTGTCACTTTTTGTGTGTGTGTGTGTTTCTCTCTGTCACTTTTTGTGTGTGTGTGTGTTTCTCTCTGTCACTTTTTGTGTGTGTGTGTGTTTCTCTCTGTCACTTTTTGTGTGTGTGTGTGTTTCTCTCTGTCACTTTTTGTGTGTGTATGTTTTTTTCTGTCACTTTTTGTGTGTATGTTTCTCTCTGTCACTTTCTGTGTGTGTGTGTTTCTCTCTGTCACTTTTTCTCTCCGTGTGTTTCTCTCTCTCTCCCTCCGTCTCTCTCTCTCTCTCTCTCTCTCTCGACTTTAGTTAGAAGGGAAGTCAATTTTTTTTTCTTTCTTCCAATCGAATTCTTTTAAAACCCTCCAACTCTTTAAACAAGATGTGCACACAAGTATTGCATAACCTGCTGCCTGTTTACACGCGTCAAATGTCCTTATGTTGTCTTGCTACGCACCCCTTTTAATACTTCAAATAAAATACAAGCTTTCGTCTCCAATGGGAAGGGGAAGTGTGTTTAGTATTGTCTTTTGTCAAAGAAAATAAACACGCGCATGTCGCTGTCCATCAGTGGGAAACACTTGTCCGGCTGACTTTAAATCTTCTATCCGATCATTTTGAACCGACTTTCGAAAAAAACGATCATTCGTCTCTACTCCCCAAATACCAGATAAAGTAGATAGTTATAAGGCTTGTTTTAGTCGGTATGAAGGAAAGATTATGTTGCGTCAGACATTCAGGTGGGAGTAATCTGCTTGCCTTGAAAATCAGCATTCGAAATCTTGGTTTTATAATCTATACCTTTTTTCAGAGCCGGGATCTCTCTCTCTCTCTCTCTCTCTCTCTCTCTCTCTCTCCTTCGCTCTTTTCTTTCTTACTCCCTCCCTTCTCTCTAATCTCTTTTATTTATTTTTTTAAATTTGCCTCACTTGGTATAGCAGAAGACCAAATAACTCTAAGTTATAAGATTTCATTCTTGGCCAAGCTTCGCCAGAAAATCAGCCACATGTATAAATGTGCGACGGAAGTTGATTATAATCGATATTTCCTGTCTGAAGCGAGCCAGGAACTGGGAATTTCAGTCCTAGGGCAGCCCCTCTCCTCTGTACTAAAAGAAAATGGTAGATCGCCCTGAAACCCTTGTGGCACAGTGAGCTCTCACATAAAACCGACTTTGTGTCCATATTTGCCCTTTCCTGAGGAAACAAGTGTAAAGAAATCTCCCAACAGCAAGTACTTGAAACTGAAAGGCTGTGTAGTGCCGGGCAGCAGCGGACCACCTTGCACTGTATACATTTATAAGCGTCTCCGCGTCCTTGTGAGTGATGACTTATTTTTCACCCTACAACTCCTTTTCTCACAGACGACACGTCGCAAAGCTCTCGCTGTTCAGTCGCAATTTCCATGAAAAGTGCTCAGACGAACTACATACCTTAGTTCCACCAGTTTTAACCTTTACGACTAAGACGCGCCCATTTTAGCGAACCACCCTCAATCCCTCCGTATTCCACTGGCGAGAAGTAAGTTCCACTCAAACAGCTTCTTCCCACGAATCACTGCTTTGTGGAACCAACTCCCAAGAGGGTGCTTTCCCGACCACTACAATTTTAACATATTCAAGTCTACGGTTAACTGTTATATTCTACACATATCGACATAAACTGTGCCTCTTATTCTATAACCATCTACCTCGAGTGGCTCTCAGGCCTTGTACAGGATGAGCATCATCATATAAAAATGAGCTGCCTATCTTATCTGCATTTACTTAATAAGTAACGTCAGATCGAGTAACTTTAATCTTTTTTTTTTTTTTCGCTAACTTTTCTAGCCAGCGTCTTATGGTCGTCATTTTTCTTTTCAAGAACAACTTGAATGCATTTATATCGTCGAAAATAATTATGGCTTTTGATTGGATCATAAGCAAGGCATGTGTGGTATCTGTCAGTCTCCAGAAACTTTGGTTCTACGCTCAAAGATTTATACCTCATCTGCGGTGTAACATCTCTTATGTCTGTAAAGGCCCACACAGGAGTGACAGTCCCGATTGCAATGAATGCATGTGAAGACGTTCGCTTATGTCGCTTTGTTTTATTTTCATCGAGCACGATTCTGCTCGGCGGCAAACCTCCGTTTCTCCTCTCTTCGCTCCAGCCCTCAATGTAAATCGGGTCACCAGCGCGAGTAATCGTTGGCAACGTCTTCTCACCTCTCGATTTCCATCACCCTCTTGTCCCTTTTGCAGATGTCATTGACGCGAAGATGAGGTCGCCATCGTGCCCTCTCGTCGGTGGCCAGTTACAGAAGGGCCTTCCGAATCCTCTCGTCCGGCATACGGTGCGCATGTCAAAACCAGCGGAGACGGCACTGTTGGAGAAAAGTGTATAAGCTGGGTAACCGAGCACGGGTGAGAACGACGGCACTGATGACCCGGTCGGACCAATTGATACCCAGAAGTCGTCTCAGACAGCGAAGAGGAAAGCCGCTGATGTTTCTCTCCTGTCTGGAATAGACGCTTCAAGTCTTGCTGCCGTAGAGCAGCACGCTGACGACGCATGCCATATAGACTGCAATTCGGGTGTTCGTAATAAGCTTTCTATTCTCCCAGACACTCGGGGTCAGCCTAGGTATATTCTTTTTTTTCCGTTATCAAAGTTACTCGCAATGTTGGGTAATTTTGCTCGTCGATGGTAGCGCTCAGTGCACTACGAGCCTGGACGGGATGTATAGAGAACTAGGGCTGCCCGGACGTCTCGTTCCCCCTCTCAACCTTGCTAGCAGAATCCAAAGGAGAGGATAAACCAATAAACCAGCGCGGCTTCAGGAGTTGCCGGAAGGTAGCACAAAGTGCCGTCCATCCGCCTTAAGGGCTCCACTCCGGGTTTGAATTCAGAGTTGTCTTTCTCAGACCAATTGCCATCCACTCTGTCCTGCTATTTACCCATAACTGGAGGGAGAAGAGGATATTAGCACGTACTGGAATTCGAACTCCGATTCCTTAATCCAAGCCGCTATCCATTGCTCCACCGTGCCTCCAATTTTGGTAACCCTCAATTTATATTTAAATCTATAACAGAATGAGAAACAAGCTGGAAACATTTATAAATTTAATGTTTCGCTTCGATTTATTTCTGATGAAGTTTAAATAAAATCGAAACGTTAAATTTATAAACGTTTGCTATTTGTTCCTTATCTTATCATTCTGTCTCATTCTGATCCATATTTGATCGTAATTCATTTAAATCAATCTTAAGTTGCTTATGGCCGACTTTGATGAGATTTTAATAAACCAACAGAAAAGTAAAACACAACAAATTCTTTGATTTTTATTTATATATATATATTTTTCATCAAGTCAATAGTGAATATTTTATGCGAAACATAGCTGAGCAACTAAATAATCAATGAAAATTTTAGGAAATCCAAGAAAGCAGTGAACTTTTGAAAAAAGTGGTTTGCTTTCAAAGTGAAGAATCAGAACATCTGAGATGTGGTATTGTAACTATTTCCGTCGTACGGTCTGTTGCCCTCATCTCTGTTGCCATATTCACGACGCTTCGGTCGTTGTACACTCCGGCCTTCTTCTGTCTATATTCCTGAGATGCGGCATTGTATTTATTTCCATCGTCCGGACTGTTGCTTTCATATTTGTTGACATATTCACGAGGCTTCTTTCGTTGTACACTCCGGCCTTCTTCAGGATCTGTCTATATTCCTGAGATGCGGCATTGTATTTATTTCCATCGTCCGGAATGTTGCTTTCATATTTGTTGCCATAGTCACGAGGCTTCTTTCGTTGTACACTCCGGCCTTCTTCAGGATCTGTCTATATTCCTGAGATGCGGCATTGTATTTATTTCCATCGTCCGGACTGTTGCTTTCATATTTGTTGACATATTCACGAGGCTTCTTTCGTTGTACACTCCGGCCTTCTTCAGGATCTGTCTATATTCCTGAGATGCGGCATTGTATTTATTTCCATCGTCCGGACTGTTGCTTTCATATTTGTTGCCATAGTCACGGGGCTTCTTTCGTTGTATGCTCCGGCCTTCTTCAGGATCTGTCTATATTCCTGAGATGCGGCATTGTATTTATTTCCATCGTCCGAACTGTTGCTTTCATATTTGTTGCCATAGTCACGAGGCTTCTTTCGTTGTATGCTCCGGCCTTCTTCAGGATCTGTCTATATTTCTCATATGAGGTACTATTTACATTGTTCGGACTGTTGTCCTAATCTTTATTGTCATGTTCACGACGTTTCGCCCGTTGTACACTTCGGCCTTCTTCAAGGTCTGTCTATATTTCCGAGATTAGTTATTGTAATTATTTACACTATTTACATTATTCGAACTGTTATCCTCATCTTTGTTGTTATACCCACGGCCTTCTTCCCTCCGGCCTTCTTCAGATGATATACGTTGGAATTTTGAACCGAACCCCTTTATTTAGCACACGGGGACTAGATTATTTTAGTTCCACGTGCCATGCCTTTTCTGGATATTTCAGTTTCAGTTAATTCCCTTTTTAGTAACCCAACTCTCTAAGATTTTGTTTACCTCTGCTCTGACCAGATATTGAACACGCAACTCTTTTGGTAAAATCATTTTTTGAATTACTTCAATCAACGCTTTTATCCATGTTATATATATATATATATATATATATATATATATTCAAAATCGTTATATAATTGTTCTTGTTTCGATGCGTATCAATGCATCTCATCAGGCGATTGTAAATTACCCTTTAATTTACAATCGCCTGATGAGATGCATTGATATGCATCGAAACACGACTGCAATTGTGTAGCGATTTTGACATGTTTTTCATGTAATATCCTAAAATAAATAATATTGCTCTACTTCGTATTGAGCTCTCTTTTAAATTAAATGTTACAAATGTTGGAATTGTACTCTATTCGTTCTCATCTTAACTGGATGTGTGTGTGTGTGTGTGTGTGTGTGTGCGCGTTTTAAAACATCCGTTTTGCTTTTGTACCGACCACAGATTATTTAAATAAAATAAACACTTTTTGGCCTCGTTTAAATTTCAATGATAAATCTAATATTAATACTTGTAATAGAATTGAGAAAACTTTAATGTTAATGTTATTATGACCGTTTCCTTATAAGGAAACATTTAATAGGAAAAATTAACTAGTAAATAAACGAAGATTAACACTAATATCACCAGCACCACCACAAGTGTAAGTAATTAGTAACTAAGCTTAACTCACGATTTGCTAAAACTATTCGCTAACCCTTATACCATGCCTGACAGCCTTCTCTGTCTTTTTGCTCTTTATTGTCAGGGTGCAAGTTTGTGCTCTTCGACTTTCAAAACAAATGATCATCTCAGAAATATAGACTGATATCCTCAGTATCCTTCTGTAGAGCCACATTTTCTGTTGCATCAAATATCTTCATCCGTGACGATATTGTCCAACATTCACTGTCATGTAGGTAGACCGATATTACATAGTTCATTACTCTTTTCTTTTCTGTTTCTAACGAAATTTTCCAGTCACTTGATGCTTTGCTTAGCTTTTGAAAGGCATCTTTTGCTATCCCAACGCGCCTTCGGATTTCGCTGTCACACTTTCTATCTTCTGTTTAAAGCACTTTATTTCTTCTATGTACCGTGTCCCTTCAGGGTGTGGGTACTTTTCACAATTTCCTATCCTCTATGACTCTTCGTAAAGTTTATCTTTTTGGTATATATCTCCTAATTCCTCTTCTGCCATCCATTTACACAAGCTGTCTAATTAAATTATGAGCTGCTTTCCTCTGTCCCCCTCGGCCTTCAATATGCCCTGTGAGTGTCAAATTTTCCAAGCCTTCTTTCCTCATATGTCCTCTTTCTGATGCAGCGCACTTTTTGTTTTCATTTTCTTTAAAACTTCGTCGTTGCTCACATTTTCATTCCGTATTACTGTCGACTAGCATTTCTTCTTCGTCTGTGA